TTGGAAAAAGGAGGCTAGGGAGTGTTGGGCACTGCTTTTGTCTTCTGACTTTTTGAGGGGCTCACCACCCAACTCCCAAGTAAATCACACACAGAGCCTTATTCTCACTTATGAGTGCCTGGCCTCAGCCTGGCTGGTTTCTAGCCAGCTTTCCTTATCATCCCTCCCACCTTTTGCCTCTGGTCTCTCTGCTTTCCTTGCTTACGCCTCTCACTGTCGCTCTGTGGCAGGCTGGGTGGCTGCTGGCCCGATGTCCTCCTCCCCATCTCTCTTGTTCTTTCTCTTCCTTTTCTCCTGCTCTCTGCCTGCCAGCCCTGCCTACCCTTGCTCCCGCCTCCCTATTGGCCATTCATCTCTTTATTAGACCAGCGGGTGTTTAAGACAAGCAAAGAATCACAGCTTCACAGAGTTTAAAAAAAAATGCAGCATCAACAAAAATCACACACCTTAAAATAATGCCACAAGGGTAAGAGCGCTTCTTATGCAAGCATCAGATCCTGAGGGGTACTGTGCATGCATGAGTGTGTGTGTGTGTGTGTGTGTGTGTGTGTGTGTGTGTGTGTGTGTGTGTGATGTGGATATATCCATGAACACACATGCAAAGTTAAAGCAAGGATTCCAATACCTCTCTACACCTCACTTACTGAGACAGGGTCTCTCACTGAACTAAGAAGCAGAGCATGGCTGCTTATGCCTGTAAACTCCACTGTGTGACACGAGAAACAAGCAGATCCCAAGAGCTCTCTGGATGCAATCAGCCTAGGGCAAACGCCAGAGTCCAGTTCAGTGAGAGATCCTGTTTCAGACAATAAGACAGAGAAAAAGAGAAAGACATCACTTCCTGGCTTGCCTTTTGCCTGTGCCATGCAAGGGTGAGCTCACACCTTCACTTTCACATACATGCAACACATATCATACACACACATGCCTGAGAACAGCAAAAACAAGTTCAGGCCCACTGAGTTTTGAAGGAAAGTTCTGCAAACCCAACTTGCACACAAGGAGGGCTGTGTCTAGCAGATAAACTTCTAGGTTAGGACCATGAGAACCCAGATTTTATGTTCACAGGCCTTGTTGACTGGGTGTAGAGAGCAATGGGTAGCATGTTGAGGACCCCGATTTTAATTCCCAGCATGTCAGTCTAAAAAAAAAGAAAAGAAGTCACGACTTAAGGCACACAACTTTAATCCCAGCAATCAGGAGACAGAGGCAGACAAATATCTGAGAGTTCAAAGCCAGCCTGGTCTACAAAGTTAGTTCCAGGCCGACCAGGGCTATATAGTGAGACTGTCTTGAAAACTAGTAAACAAATAAACAAATAAAAAGAGGGCTGTCCTAGTTAGGGTTTTAATTGCTGAGGAGAGACACCAGGACCACGACAACTCTTACAAAGAAAACACTTAATTGGGATGGCTTGTTTACAGTTTCAGGGTTCCGTCTGTTATCGTGATGATGGAGCACCGCAGAAAGCGGGCAGACGTGCTGCTGGAGCTGACACTGATGCATCTTGCAGACAACAGGAAGATGACTGAGTGTCAGTCACCCTGAGAAACGACTGAGCAAAAGACCCCAGAGTGACACACCATACTCACTCCAGCAAAGCCACGCCTCCTAATAGCGCCACTTCCTGAGAGTATGGGAACCGGTTACATTCAAACCACCACAGGGCAAAGGTCAATGAGAGCCCCACAAGCGCCTTCTGTGTTACCTGCTCTCTAATGTTGTTACCAAATGCCTGGCCAGAAGCAACCTAAGGAAGCAGGAGCCCAGTTCAGTTTCTATTTCCAGAGGGCACAGCCCATCGCGGAAAGGAAGGCCCAGCAGCAGGAAGATTTGCATCAGCATCGGGAAATGAAAGCTCAACTCACTTTCTCCTTCTGTTAGTTCAGAGCCACAGGCCTTGGGGTGATGCTGCCCACATTCAGGCTGTGTCTTCCCTCCTTGGCTAAAACTTTTCTGGGCCAGGCAGTGGTGGCCCATGCCTTCAATCCCAACATTCTGGAGGCAGAGGCAGGTGGATCTCTGTGAGTTTGAGGCCAGTCTGGTCTACAGAGTGAGTTCCAGGACAGCCAGGGCTACACAGAAAAACCCTGTCTCAGAAAAACAAAACAAAACTTTTCTGGAAATACTCTCATTGGAACCCACAAAGTTATGTTTCCGTGGTGATTCTAAATTTAGACAATGGGTGAGAGAGATGGCTGAACTGGTAAACACACTTGCTGCCAAGCCTGATGACCTGAATTCAGTCCCTAGGTCCCACATGATGAACAGAAAGGGCTGAGTCCACAAGTCATCCTCTGACCTACACATATGTCCTCTGACCTTCACACATGTCCTCTGACCTTCACACATGTCCACAGCATATGCATGCCCATACACATGCATGCCCCCCCACACACACACGTCCACAGCATATACAGGCACACACACACACAAACACAAACACACACATGTCCACAGCATATGCAGGCACACACACACACATCCACAGCATATGCATGCACCTACACACACATACATGTCCACAGCATATGTATGCACCCGAATACACAGACACATGTCCACAGCATATGCATACACACACACACACACACACGTCCACAGCATATGCATGCCCACCCTGCATATACACCAAACAGAATATAATAAAAACAAGGTTATCCAGTACATGGTCCACAAAGATGACCCCCAGGGCATCCTCATCGTCACTACGGCATCTCTCAACAGCCTGGGCTCCAAGGGCCAACGGTTTAGCCCCTCCCTTGTACCCACCTTTATCTCTCTTACCCCTCTATGACTCCATGGCACTTGCTTGCCCATATTTCAGCTGTCTTTTTTTTTTCAGCCCAACCCAGTATCTGCTCCAAGCCTGCGCCCATGCAGCTGAACACAGCTGTATTTATTTTTTAGGGTGTGTGTGCGCGCGCGTGCGTGTGTGCGTGTGCGCGTGTGTGCGCGCGTGTGTGCTATGGTGCAAGTGTGTATAGGCCAGGGGTCAACTTTAGGGAGTCAGTTCTCCCCTCCTACGTGGGTCCTGGGGACTGAACTGGGGTCATCGGGTTTAGAAGCGCATGCCTTTACCTGGAGCCATCTCACCAGCCTGTGTTTTGGTTTATCTTTTGTGTCAGAGACCCTCTTCCTGGCCCAAGCTGACCACACCGTGGCCTTTCTAGGTGCTAGGACTACAGTGTGGCACCACTCCAGCTGGCACTCTCCTCCTGTACATAAATAACATCAACAGCAGCAAAGTCATTCCGCAACCATTGGGAATTAGGAAGAGAAGCATAGTCTATGACAGACAGGCATGAATAATCACAGGCCTACCCTGCTCTGGCAATACCCAAGAGAGGGCAAAGTTGGTTCCTCGGAACATTCCAAATCTGCTAGTGCAACCTAAATGCCACCACCAGGCCTTTAGCACTGTCTTCCCGAGATGCTGCGCACAGTGTGTCCCCTCCCTCTTCTCCCACAGTGAGCAATGGGCCCAACGGGAGTGTTCTGGTTGTGGGTGGGCAGTGATAGCTACCTAGGCAGAAGCCACACGGCCTGCTAGAAGTGAGTCAGGATGTGATGTTGATGCTGGTTCCCTTCCTAAAAACGTCACGGTGAGTAATGGCACAGTTAATCCAAGATGCCCTGCGAAGCTTCCCCCCACCCAGGGTGCGGTGGTGCTGGAGGACCGACGCAGGGCAGAGCCGGAGACACCACTCTAGTACTTTAAGCCACATGTTCAAGCCCAATAAATTAGCCCAGGCTTAAAGAAGTCAAGCTGTACACATGTAAGAATTTTAATAAGCTTGGAAAAGGCTACCTGGAGCTATGTACAGCTTACTGTACCAGTGAGATGCCCTGCCACCAGCCACAGAGTGCTGAGCCCCTGACAGGAGCTGGGGGCACTGGAGGCAACAGGAACAGGGAGTCAGTTTGCAGGTTTTCTCAGGACTCGGGGACTTACAGCAAATGGCTGGCAGCCAGGAGACAGACAAACAGAACAGGGCAGGCAACGCAGCAGAGCCAGTGGCATTTACCAGGAAAACGTGCCAAGCGTTTCTTCAGTGGGAATCTGGTGCTTGCACACCCTTGTAGAAACTAGCAAACACTGTAATCAATGCCTACACTGTAATCAATGCCTGTTTGTACTCAGAACCGTGTTAGGGACAATGGAGAGCTAAGCAAACACGGTTTCTGACTTCTAGATGCCAACACCTAACATAAATAAAAACAATAAATCTGTCCAAAGGATTACCAAAGTAACTAAGCAAACACAAGCGAGTCAAAAGCATTTGCCTTACACAAATGCAGTGGAGTAATCATGAAGGCTAAGTCATGGGAGATGACTCTCTGAACAGGGTGGGGCCCAATGGAACAGTTACATGGGAAGGTTGAGTCTCCAAGGTGTGAGGGGGGGCAGATTTTGAGAAAATGTTCAAGGGCTGGATATCAGGCCAGGAATGGGCCAAGAGGCATAGCACAGGAGAGGCTTAGAGTCAAAAATACAACCATGAGTTTTTTCCTGAGTGAGTAGAGAAAGCGAGTAGGTTATGTTTCTCGACTGCCTTCTCCATGCAGCCCTTTAATATACAGAGAACACCCATGCCCTCATCTAGTGACATTTAAAATTCAGAAAAAGACTAAACCGTACCCAAATCAAAGCTCTAGCGGCTTTAGAATCTAATATTCATCCATTCTCATTCTCTCTCTCTTCACTGAAATTTGGGTCAGGCTAACGGTGAAGTCACAATCCTGTCAGGTTTCTGAAACGCTAGGATTACAGGTGTATCCCACCGCGCTCGGGGCGCTGACTTTGAAGTAGCCAACGCCAACCCCAGCGTTAGAACCGCCGGGGCAGCAGGGACAGTCTCTGCCACTGAACTCAGAGGAAAGAGAGGGTGTGGGTCTTAGTGCACGTGGGGCCAGACCAGCAGTTGTCACAGAAACATAACAGGGCAGTAGACAAAAACGGAACCTCGGCACATCAGTGATTAATTCACAGAGATTACCTGGTTAAAACTCTTGAAGGTGAACTCCTTGCAGATGGCATCTCTGTCACTCAATTCCGACCATCCGGCTGCTTTCAGGCCGCGGAGAAGTTGGCTCCTCTCCTCCGCTGTCAGCCACGGTGCATCCGAAGACTAGGAAGGGAACACATTTCTTGTCTGAAAGGGTGGCGTTTATCTAAACTCTTTCCATAAACGTATACCTCTTTAGGGAGTGATGGGGAAAAGAGTCTCAAGGGTAACAAATTCTAGCCATGGCTCATTCCTTTACTCTCAACAGATAGGCAAAGTCTGTGTGGGCTGCCCAAAAGAAGATGGCTGGTAGCCTGGGTCTACTCCAGACTCCGAGATTCAGCGACTCTGGTTTATTACAGCTACAAGTAAGACTGCCACTGCCACCGGCCTTCTTAGACGCTACAGAATCCCCAAACAAGCAACCCAGGCAACACCAACTCTCCAGGGAAGCTCCCGGAAGGACCAGGACCAGAACCCACGGCCCTAACCCTGGCCTGCCACTCTTTGGATGCCTGTCCTGCGCCTCCTGTCCCTGCAGCTCACTCAAGTGGGTTGGACTATTTAGGGTGTCTATTCCCTGTCATATATTATGAAAACTCCACTACAGTGGGGAACCAGATGTATATTTCCATGGAGTTTCACATAACCAGGTCTGGGGGGTCCACAGCCCCTCCAGCACAGGCAAAAAGTCTTTGCCTTGATAACAAGAGCACCAGTACAACAAGCTGCCTGCCTGTGTCGCTGGACCACCCAGAGCATCCCTGGCGCCTGCCTGCACCCTGCTCTCCAGTGACACTCAGGACTCACTCATCACAATTCACCATGGACACCTTCTCAGCAAGACTCTCCCCCAAAGACAGAGCCAACGCTGAAGGCTGCAGACTCTGTACTGGAAGCTGCAACTCACTCCTACTTCTGGAACCCTCAAACTTTTTACCACAGACATTACAATTAAGAAGGCTCAAACGCCAGGCTGCGATGGCATGCGCCTTAAACCCAGCACTCAGAAGGCAGAGGCAGGGGGATCTCTTTGAGTTCCTGGTCTACAGGGTGAGTTCCAGGACAGCCAGGGGCTACACAATAAAACCCTGTCAGGGAAAAAAAATAGTTCTGAAACCTCTCTCTCTTTCCCTCCCTCTCTCTCTCTCCCCTCCCCCACCCCCCTCTGGGGAGGGGAGGTAACATAAGTTCTCACTATGAACTCATGGCAACTGTCCTGTCTCAGCCTCTCCTCAGTGCTGGATTTCCAGGCATATACTACCAAACCCACTGAGTTCTGAAATTTCTCACACAGAGGTCTGCTATAGGAAATAAGCTAAACTCTGCCAAACACCTGAATACTTTAAGTCAACTCAGAATTTCAGGAAAGAAGCAACTGCTCATTTCTCACAGGGACTTGACGACAAGGAAGACTATGACACACACTGGACTAAGCCTGAAATACACTGACTGTGTCATAGTCATCCAGAGGCTGTGGAAGGTGCTGAGCTAGCCACAGTCCTATGGAGTCCAAAAGCGCATAGGCTGGCTCAGAAAAGATGTCCACCCAGCAGCAGGGACTGTGGTGAGCACTGTGAAATGGAGCCCACATAACACCAATGGCCCCGAAGAGACGTGCCCTCAGCAGAACACTTTGCTTGGAGGTTTTCTAATTGTGATTTATTTACCTTTTATTTACTTGTCTGTTTGTTTTAGTTTTTCAAGACAGGGTTTCTCTGTGTAACAGAGTTCTGTACTAGAACTCACTTTGTAGAACAGGCTGGCCTCAAACGCATCCATCTGCCTTCCTCTACCTCCCAAGTCCTGGGACTTAAGGCATGGATTTATTCACTTTCATCGTTAAGTAGGTGCTAGCATGTATATGTGCGCCTTGTGCATATATGTTACTAACCGAGGACAGGAGAGGGCATCAGACTCCCTGATACTGAAGTTTCAGATGGTTGTGAGCCTCCATATTGGGTGCTGGGGCAGACTCTCTGCCAGAGCAGCATGTGATCCTAACTGCTTAGTTATCTGTCCAGCCCCCAGCACAGTCCTTTGAAGTAGCCAGGGAATGTTTCTCATAAGAACTGGGGGAGATGTGAACAAGTACAGGACGTAGGAGTATACACAGTTATCTTTTTAACTTTTAACTGCTGGATTCTGGACTTGGCCTTTCTAGGTTTCAGGACCCTTGGGTCTATAGTAGGGATGGCACAGTGTCAAAATGTCAAGACTTTTTTTTTTAAAGATTTAAAAGAGATCGTTCCGGGTACACCTTAATCCCAGGATTTAGGAGGCAGAAGCGGGCGGATCTGTGTGTTTAAGGCCAGCCTGGTCTACATCCCCTCTGCAAGATTCAAAGAAAGAGGGAGAGGGATGGAGGAAGAAGGGCTGAAAGAAGGGCTGAAAGGAGAAAGGGAAAGCAGAGACCTTGCGCGATGGCGGCCAACAGAGACTGTGGCTCAGGACAGCCATTCAAATCAAAGTCTTTCCTCACTCCTTCCCAGACGCCATGATTTTATAAGATCAGAGCACTTTGGGTAGGAGTATGCCTTGAGACACACCTAGGTGACAGCAATCACGCTGTACAGAATTTTGGGCTATTTCACATGTTACATATTAAAGAAATTTCACAACCAGGGTGGTGGTGCATGTCTGTGTTCTCAGCACGTGGAAGGTGAACGCAGAAATGTGCAGCAGGCTTTCTTTTGAGCCGCCCACCAGCTCCCAAATCACGGCATGGGGATTTACTATTCGTTATGAATGCCCGGCCCTAGTTCATGCTTGTCCCCTAGCTCTTATAACTTATTCTACCTGTTTCTCTTCATCTACCCTTTGCCCCGGGCTCCTACCTGTCTTTCATTCTGTGTGTCCGGCTTACACTGCCTGCTCTGTCAGCTGGCAGCTGTGGCTCCCAGTGGCTCCCTCTCGTTCTCCCTCATCCCTTCTTTCTTTTCTTCCCTCTTCTCTTCCCCTATTAATTTTCTCTGTCTTCCAGACTCACCTGTCCCTCTACTGCATAGCTATTGGCCATTTGGCTTTTTATTAGGCCCTCAGATACCTTAGGTAGACAAGGTAAAACAGCAACACATTTTTGCATAACTACACACAAATGCAGCATAAACAAATGCAACACACCTTTATGCAGTTAAAGTAATATTCTGCAACAAGGACAAATGTGACACATTTTTACATAGTTAAGTATTCCACAACACTAATATATCAAGTTCGAGGCCAGCCTCAGCTACATGAGACCTATCTCACTGAAAACAGACAAAAGGAAATCTCACTCCTTCTTCTATTGGAAGAAAAGAAACAAGTGGGAAGGACGCATAGGAGAATGTGTTTAGTGTACTTGAACTTCACACACATATGCACCTGTATGAAAAACTGTCCTAACTAGATTAATTTTTAAAAACATGTTAACCAAATGTAATGACTGGTCCCGGATTACACCACAAAAAAAAAAAAAAAAAAAAAAAAAAAAAAATTCTAGAGTAATTAGTCAAAAACAATGGACATTATCAGCAATAATTTTCTGACTTCAACAATTCTATGTAATAAAAGGAAAATTATTTGCTTTAGGAAATTCATTATAGAACTTTTACATGACTATAAACGATGTCTGTTGACTTATTCATACAAAAAATTTCCTAACGGGCTCTAATGAGCGGCTGGAAATGAAAACTGCGCTTCATGCTACATTTCCACTAGATGGAGCCACGTGCTAAAACTTCCCCTCGATTTACCCTCGCTCCAACTCGCCCTCCAAACCCCTCCCAGGCAGCATCGCGGCGCTCCTGTCTGGCTTCGCAGTAATCCTCCTGCCTCAGCCTCTCTAGGCGCAGGAATTACACGACACAACGCACAGCCAAAACACTAATGTCTGAAGTAGGAAAACTTAAAATGTCCTCTCTAGAAGTGGTGAGAAATCGATGTGCCGTTCAAAAACGTGGAAGGAAAGGTAATTTGCTAATTCTTCCTAAAGCTCACGACCAAGCCTGGCCCGCTAAGTGGCCTCCCCGGGGCCGCCCCAGCACACACATGGCCACGGCCCATCAGCTCACCACGTCTTCACTTTTAGATTTTGGGGTATTTTTGTTGTTTGATTTGGACGAGATTGTTTGCGGAGAGCGAGCTCATACGCCTGGACGGAAGCTGCTCGGGGTGTGTTGTTTTGTGGCAGGTGCCGCCGCGTAGCCGTGGCTGGCCTCGAACTCACTCGCGCCCTCCAGCCGCCGCCTGCCCGCTGCCGGGGCGAAGGCGCGCGCACGGCGCTCCGCCGGGTCTGCGCGCGCAGCCGCCCGACCCAGCCCCGGCCCGGTCTCCCGCCCCGGGCGCTCGCACTCACCATGGCCGCCCGGCTCGCACCCCGGCCGCGCAGCGCCGCCAACACGCGCAGGGCGCCGCGCGCCCCCGCCGCCGCCGCCATGGCCCGGGCTGCCCGGCGCGGTGCCTGACGCGCGGCCCAGGCCCCGAAGGCCCCCGGCGTGCCCGCCCCAGACCGCCCTGCCTCGGCCGGGCGAGCAGCCCCGGGCTGGCGGGGACACCGCTCCGTGCGCGGCTGAGCGCGCTCCTGCTGCGTGGCCTGCACAGGTGCATCACTCCAGGGAGACCCGAGGACCTGCTGAGACACTTCCACGTGCCGTGTGCGCGTGTGCGTGTGTGAGAGAGAGAGACTTCCACGTGCCGTGTGCGTGCGTGCGTGTGTGCGTGTGTGAGAGACACTTCCACATGCCGTGTGCGTGCGTGCGTGTGTGCGTGTGTGAGAGACACTTCCACATGCCGTGTGCGTGCGTGCGTGTGTGTGTGTGAGAGAGACACTTCCACATGCCGTGTGCGTGTGCGTGCGTGTGTGCGTGTGTGCGTGTGAGACACTTCCACATGCCGTGTGCGCGTGTGTGTGAGACACTTCCACATGCCGTGTGCGCGTGTGCGTGTGTGAGAGAGAGAGACTTCCACATGCCGTGTGCGTGTGCGTGCGTGTGTGCGTGTGAGACACTTCCACATGCCGTGTGCGTGCGTGTGCGTGTGTGAGAGAGAGAGACTTCCACATGCCGTGTGCGTGTGCGTGCGTGTGTGCGTGTGAGACACTTCCACATGCCGTGTGCGTGTGCGTGCGTGTGTGAGAGAGAGACTTCCACATGCCGTGTGCGTGCGTGCGTGTGTGCGTGAGACACTTCCACATGCCGTGTGCGTGCGTGCGTGTGTGCGTGTGTGCGTGTGAGACACTTCCACATGCCGTGTGCGTGTGCGTGCGTGTGTGAGAGAGAGACTTCCACATGCCGTGTGCGTGTGTGCGTGTGTGCGTGAGACACTTCCACATGCCGTGTGCGTGTGTGAGAGAGACTTCCACATGCCGTGTGCGTGCGTGTGCGTGTGAGACTTCCACATGCCGTGTGCGTGCGTGTGTGCGTGTGAGAGAGAGACTTCCACATGCCATGTGCGTGCGTGTGCGTGTGTGAGAGAGACACTTCCACATGCCGTGTGCGTGTGTGCGTGTGAGAGAGAGAGACTTCCACATGCCGTGTGTGTGTGTGTGTGTGTGTGTGTGTGTGACTTCCACATGCCGTGTGTGTGTGTGTGTGTGACTTCCACATGCCGTGTGTGTGTGTGTGCCTGTGTCTGTGTGTATATCTGTGTGTGTGTGTAAATCTTTATTATTCTTTTGCAGTTTTTTTTCCATGAGACGTAATTGACAATAAAATTAACGCTGTTCTAAGTTTTGGTTAAAATGTTTCAGCCTTTAGTTCCGCTTGTATCCTTTTTGTTTTGTTTTGTTTTGTTGTTGACTTGGTTTTAGTTTTTTGAGACAGGGTTGTGTGTGTAGACCAGGCTGGCCTCGAACTCAGATCCACCTGCCTCTGCCTCCTGAGTGTGCCACCACAGCCTGGCCATCCTTTTGGGTTTTTTGCTATGTAACTATTTTGTATTCCTTTCTAGAAACGGTTTCATGTAGCCTCAGCACAACATTGCAGAGGCTCACCTTGAATACCCGCCTCCACCTTCCAGGAGCTGGAGATCATGGACTCATGCCACCAAGCCCAGCTCCGTTATTTTTTCTAAATTAGCACATAAATATTACCAGTTTTCCAGACATGGTAGTGCACATCTTTAATCCCAGAACTCAGGGTGTGAGGCAGGTGGATCGCTGAGAGTTAGAGGCCAGCCTGGGATACATAGTTGTAGCAGAGCCAGAGCTGCATAATAAGATCTTGTCTTTAAAATGTACATTTTCTTATTTTTATCAGCTTTATGGAGAATTTGGCTAAGGGTATAGGTACTAAAGAGTTCATTTATGACTGATTTCACAATTGTTAGCAGTCTTATATCCCAAGTAGACTTAGAAAAAAAATAAAGCTTCAAAAGAGCCTAAAATGTAGACTTCAGTCTAGACCTGATTGGCAAGATGTAACAATCTGGAAAAGAAAAACTCTGGCTACTCTGAGGCAGCGCTGACTTGAAGTAACTTGGGTTTCTTTAGGCTCATGCCTAAGGATGAGGTGCCAAGGGTAGAATTAAAAGAAAAGTCTTACTTCTGAGCAGTGGTGTCACACGCTCAGCACTCGGAGGCAGAGGCAGAGGCAGGCAGATCTCTAGGAGTTTGAGACCAGCCTGGTTTACAAAGTGAGTTCCAGGACAGCCAGGGCTACACAGAGAAACCCTGTGTAGATACTCAAAAAAGGAAGAAAGAAAACTAAGTCTTGATTCTAGTATTTTCCCTGAGTGTTGATGATCATGGAAATAGTCTTGACATTTGCATACTGAAGTGAGGATCCTCCAGGGCGTGTGTTACTCACCTGGAGTCTCTGCACCGGGAAGGACAGGCAGAAGGGATTGGTTGGACACCAGCCTGGGCTACAGACTGGGAGAGGGAAAGAGAGAGAAAAGCTGAGAACTGAATGAATTGGTGGGTGTTAACAAAGTAGCAATGCATCATTCTCCCTTAACACCCATCTGAAACCACGGCATCTCAAGTCTAGCTACAAAGCAGCAAGAGAAAGAAGTCAGAGCCTAGGAAAGTGACATCATCATCCAACAGCCACTCTGTGAGTGTCTCACTCACCAGAGAAGCCACCAGATGGGCCATGAAGCTGGCTCAGCAGATGAAGTTTCTTTTCAAGCCGAGCCTGCTGACCTATTTGTTCCCCAGGACCCACTGGTGGGTGGAGAGAGCTCTGCACACACACTCACACACAAACACATTTTTAATTGTAATTAAAAAAAAAAAAAAAAAAAAAAAAAAAAGGCTTTCGGGTCTGGAGAGATGGCTCAGAGGTTAGGAGCACTTTGCTGCCCTTACAGAGGACCTGGGTTCTATTCCCAGCACCCATGGCAGCTCACAACCATCTGTGACTCCAGTTCCACGAAATCCGACATCTTCTTCTAGCCTTCAGAAGGCCAGGCACACACAATGCACATACATACAGGCAAAACATCCACACACATACAAAAGTAAAGTTCAAAAAATAATTTTAACAGTGTGTCTCTGTAGTAGACGCTGTGCTTGGCTTGCGATGCTGGAACTAAGCTTGAGCTGTCTCCTCCACCTCAACCCCCTCACCTCTTCTGACTAATTAATATCCCTCCTCTCCAGGCAATAACCTCCTTCTGAATTCACTCCTGGGGAACCCCATATGGGTAGTTTTAGTTAAGCATTAGAAGCAAGGCCACTGGTCTGCTAGAAATCGTGGTCACTCTCTCACTCCCTAGACTTTAGAATAGAGCCTCATCGGGTAATAAAAAGCATTTTTTAAAAATCCTTCTGTGATGGTTTGAATAATGGCCCCATAGGCTCATGGATTTGAATGTTTGGTCTCCAGGGAGGCACAATATTAGAACATGGGGTCTTGTAGCAGGTGTGACCTTGTTGGAGGAAGTGTGTTGAGGGGTATTTGTACACTGTGAGAAAATGTATTGCTGTGATTGGTGTAATAAAATCTCAACAGCCAATAGCTAGAAAGAGGTTAGGCAGAACTTCCAGGGACAGAGAGGAGTTGGAGAAGAAAGTCGCCAGCCAAACATGGAGAGGAAACAGGAAATGCAAGATGGAAGAGAGGTAATAGCACATGGCAGAACATAGATTTAAAAACATGGGTTAATTTAAGTTATAAGAGCTAGCTGAGACAAGCCTAAGCTAAAGGCCAAGCTTTCACAATTAATACGTCCTCTCGTTGGCCACCCAAAGTTAAGCCCAACTACAGGGTGTGCCACTTTGACTTTGGGGTTTGGAATGGAGCCACCTCTCCTCTAACATGTCCCTTACTCCATATCTGCCTTTGTGCCAACACGCTTCCCACTGATGATAATGGACTACCCCTGAATTGTAAGCCAGCCCCAATGAAATGTTTTCCTTTATAAGAGCTGCCATGGTCATGATGTCTCCCCACGGCAACAGAACAGTGACTAAGACACCTCTCTTTGGGGCTGGAGAGATAGCAGTTAAGAACATCTCACTGGCTGCTCTTCTAGAGGCACTGGCTTCAAAACCAAAAAACCAAACGTGTGAGTGTGTGTGTGTGTGTGTGTGCGTGCGTGCGTGCATGCATGCATGTGTGTGGGTGTGTGTATGTGCCTCTTTTTGGTTTTTTGTTTGGTTTGGTTTTTGTTTTTTGAGACAGTGTTTCTCCGTGTAGCCTTGATTATCCTGGAACTAGCTCTCTAGACCATGCCTGCCTCTGCCTCCCGAGTACTAGGATTAAAGGTGTTTACTACTACTGACTGGCCTGAAATCCCACTTTTGAAAGAGTAATCCTCACTCCAGAAGATACTCCAAAGGAAATGAGAATACTATAATATCCAGATTAAAAAGGCAAGTGTGGCCGGGGGAGGAAGGGTGCACACCTTTAATCCCAGCACTAGGGAGGCAGAGGCAGGCAGATCTCTGAGTTCAAGACCAGCCTGGTCTACAAGAGCTAGTTCCAGGCCAGCCTCCAAAGCCACAGAGAAACCCTGTCTCGAAAAAACAAACAAGCAAACAAACAAAAAGGCAAGTGTGTTAAACTTACTTAAAAGCCTAAGGTTAAGAAAGCTACCAGGAGCTTTTCCCCTGGCTGGTAGCACGGAGTTACTGTAAAGACTTTAACCAGCAGGAGTTCGCCAGAGCTCGGGCAGCCTTCCTCAAAAAGTTGGGAAGCTGAAAGTCCCTGGATGGGTGGACACAGTCAAGCTGGCCAAACACAAAGAGCTTGCCGCCTATGATGACTGCTTCTACACACGAGCTGCTTCCACAGCATGGCACCCACACTTCCACGGTGGTGCCGGAGTTGGCTCCATGACCAAGATCTATGGAAAATGGCAGGGAAACGGTGTCAGACCCAGCCACTTCAGCAGAGGCTCCAAGAGCGTGGCCCGCTGCCTCCTCCGAGCCCTGGCGGGGGGGGGGGGGGGCTGAAAATGGGGGAAAAGGACCAAGATGGGGGCCGAAAGCTAACACCTCGGGGACAGAGAGATCTGGACAGGATTGCTGGACAGGTGGCAGCTGCCAACAAGAAGCATTAGAACAAAGGATGTTGGGTTAATAAACTGCCTCATTCATTTAAAAAAAAAAAAAAAAAAAAAAAAAAAGCCACCAGGATCCAGAAAGATGTAGCAGGAAAAAGCACTTGACTCAGGTTCAATCCCTCGGACCCACATCATGGAAGGTGAGAAGTGACCCCACAAGTTGTCCCCTGACCGCATATGCGCCTGGACACTTACGCACTAAATAAAAAGGAAAATGCCTTAACCCATTAGCAACAGTGAAATAGTAATCATTTGATAAAATAAAGGCGTCCTGCCAGATAAGTGTGGTAGCACACACCTCTATCACTACAGAGGCACTCGGGGCTGAGGTAGCTGGGGAGTTTGAGCCAGTCTAGCTTACACAGAAGGCCCTGTCTCAAAAACTAACAAAGATTAAAGGTGCCTGTGGTGTCCGATCGAGGGGCATGCCCCACTGTGAGGGCGTTTGAGCTTGGTCCCCAGCTGGCAGTGCTGCTTGCAGAGGTCATGGACTTTGCAGAGGGAGGAGCCTTGCTGGAGCGTGTCACCACAGGGCTAGAGCCTTGCCCCCACTCCCAGCCCACTCTCTGCCTCCTGTCTGCAGCTAAAAATGTGATCTCTCACCTCCCTTCCCTCCCTCCCCAACACTTCCAACTCTCCTGACCCGTGAGCCAAAGTAAACTTTCTTCCATAACCCCCTTTTGGTGGCTTCATCCCAACAAAGAGTACCTGATACAAAGCTGAATTCTGTTATCATCACAACACCCTGGAGAAAGAGCAGAGGTAAACAGTCAAAGGTCACCTGGGCTGTGGCATAGAAAAATGCAGAGCCTGTCCTCTAGGCTTGGAGCCAAGTGCGGTGGCACACATCCGGGATCTCACAGGAAGAGCCACAGGCAGGAAGAGCCAGTGTCCAGGGCCAGCCTGAGCTACACCTCAAGACTCCAATTCAAAGAAGAAAACAACACAAACCCTACAACAAAGGTCCGAAAGCCGCACAGCCAACACTGAGTTATTCCGAGCTTCAGCTAGCATACTGACATGAAGACATTTGGTAGCAGCAGACTGAGTTGTGTGTGTAACTGAATCAGTATGGCAAAGAAGTTTAGAAAGTAGCTGGCCTTCAGAGTGATGATTCAAATGTTACTGTGAGAGTCAGAATCACTAAGGTTTGCTTGTTTTTCTCTCTTAGTTTTGTAAATACAGGCCAGGGCTCTCAACTTACTGTCTTAGTAAGCTGGGCAAGTTATTAGCTATTTCTCAGCCTTAGTTTGCTCATTTGTAGACAGAAGTAATGGTCTCTTTCTGAGTCACAGTCCCCTTCTCCAGGGGACACCCAACAAGGGCTGTCATGACACTACACACACCATAAAGTTGTAAACTCTCAATACAACGCTATGTTTGTTTCTACGGAATGAGGAGTATTTTATACACACCGAAATAATGTCTAAAACTCTGGAAGCAATTAGTATGAGAGTAATTTATCAAGCCAGGCGCAGTGTGCATGCCTTTAATTCTAGCACTTGGGAGGCAGAGACAGGAGAAACTCCATGAATTCAAGGCCAGCTTTGTCTACATAACAAACTTCGGGCTAGCCAAGGCTGTATGAAATCCTGTCTCAAAAAACACTAAGCATAGAGGCAAGAGGATCCTGGAGTTCCAGGCCAGCCTGATCTACACAGCAAGTTCCAGGACAGCCAGGGCTACACAGAGACGCCCTGTCTCTAAAGACCAACAATGATAATTATTATTATTGATGTATATATAAATTATATGTTGCCTCTATAGAAATTTATGATTTTTCAAGTGTATGAAGAGCACATGTTGTGAACATGTAGAGGTCAAAACAAGGGTACTGAACTCAGGTCTTCACACTTGGTGGCAAGCATCTTTATATGCTAAGCCATCTCAGCAGCCTAGGCTGTCACTCTCCTAAATGTGTCCTCAACTAGACTCAACTTTCAGGCAAGAACAGTGTTTTGCGTTTTGGGGGTTTTTTGGTTTTTTGGTTTTGGTTTTTGTTGTTGTTGTTGTTTGTTTTGTTTTTTTGGTTTTGAGACAGGGTTTCTCAGTGGCTTTGAAGAATAGTGTTTTATACTTCCTTTGGATCTCAACCCAGCTCAGTGTTCAGAGGTATGCTTGTCTGGGTTTTCAAAACATGGTTTCTCTATAGCCCTGATCATTATGGAACTCACTCTGAAGACCAGGCTAGCCTTGAACTCAGAGATCCACCTGCCTCTCCCTCCCAAAGCTGCCTAGCTCAATGTTCAGAGTTTTAAAGTTCAAATCATGCACACTGGATACACAACTGACTAAAGTTCATACTCTAACACAGAATTAATATGTTTTAATTAGAACTTTTTTTTCGTACCATCTGCAAGTAAAACCTCTTTGAATTCAGAAACAGCAAAGATCACAAAACAAGGGGCATGTGACCTTTTCTTTCCCACACCAGGTGCTGCTCAGATGTCCACACCCATCCTGGTTACTTTCCTGGTAGCACACTTTCCTGCTAGAAGAGAAATCCATTGTGTTCAAGTACTAAAATCGAGAACAGTCAATTCTAGTGAATACTTTTGCATCTGCAAGCTGTCACAGTAAAAACACATTTATATGTAATTCTTTAGCCTCAGTAGTTCACCAAGAACATGATTCTTGAATCTGACTTCCCTTGTAAATCAGTATTACAATCCCGGGCATTGTCTCCCCTGAAGCCAAAGCCTGGCTAGGGTTCCTCCTCTCCCCTTTCTCTATTCAGCATGCTCCTGCTCTTGTCCTGGAATCAGCCACCGAATGCTCTCAGTCCGGATGGTAGCATACATGATAAAACTAATTAAAAAGAATAAGGAAAATACAAGCAGCCAATCCACGGTCTTTATCAATGTGCTGGGGAGAGGGCCCATTTGGTCAGCTTGTGTTACCACCACATTTTTCCTGGCTTCTATACCTGAAAGACAAATCAATTGTTTCAAATTAGACAGAAATCACATCCAAGGCTTGTCTGAAGTATGATGCGTGGCATGCAAAATGACAAGCAAGCCTAAAGTAAACACCCCGGCGTGCCAGTGTCATCTGTCACTAGCCCTTTCTCCCCACCACATCAAAGGACTGGGAATCCTTCCAGCAGCTGAAAGCTGAAACTCCACAATTCCGTGAGTCCTCGGAGCTTTTCTACTCAACGTCCTGTTAGAGCTGCCTTTTGTTCTCTTAGGACCAAAGCTCAACAAGCAAGACCACTTGCAAATGTTTCCACATGTCGACTTATATTTAAATAAGTTACTGAAAGAATTGTTGGATTGATGGCCCACCACTGGGCCAGTGACCTCTAATGATGCCGGGCACCTCGAATCCATCTCCGAGCACTAAACACAATGGCTCTCTCTCCCTGTCAGGGGTCAGGGTCCCCAGTGCTTCACTCTCACCTCTGAGCTAACCAGGGTCCCTGCTGTGTCACATTAGAGGGAACCTGAGCACAATGTGCACTGAGGTGTGCTCTAGACCGCACTCACTTCCGGGAAGGGCACTCAGGGAGAAGAGGGTGCTCACCACTGGGGCTGGACGTCTCTGAGGAGGGGAATTTCCTTCAGCTCACCACCAACTTTTACAAGAAATAAACCATGGGGTCACACGCTTCAGCAAACATGATGGAATTGAAACAACATAATGGGACACACGATGGTGGCATGCACCTTAAATCTCAGCACTTGGGACGCAGAGGCAGGTGGATCTCTGTGAGTTTCAGGTCAGCCTGGTCTACAGGGTCAGTTTTAGGACAGCCAAGGCTCCACCCCAGCACCCAAAAACTAAATAAATAAATGGAACACAACACAATTAAAACAAACAAAACCTAACCACACCCAACAATACAGCTAAATCTCAGTCACAACAGTTAGCAGCCACAACCCAGACAGAAGATACAACCACACTGTGTGTGTTTGAGGCCAGACTGATCTACACAGAGAGACCATGTCTTCAAACACACACACACACACACACACACACACACACACACACACACACACACACCCCTACCTACCTGTCTGGTTGAAAATGAAGGTTTTCAGGGTCTCCAGAGTTCGATCTGTATGATTAAATCTTGCCATCGGTTTAGCTCCTTGAAATAACAAAATGTTAGGGACAGCTACAGTGCCGAATCTGGTAGAAAGGCTGAAAGAGAAAGAAGGCAGTTAAGTCAGAAAGCCCAAAAGCATGCTTTGTCACGTGACTAGTCTGTCCAACTTTTGACTTTTGGCCTGCTCCTCGGCACTTCCTGACAGGTCAGGGTTAGGGCACCCTACTTTGCAACCCAACTCAACTGATGCTAGCACATGGTTCCAGCCACGACCTAATGATTCCACTATTTAACTCCAAATGTCAAAATGACTCAGACCAGAAAATTCTAATTCGTGGATAAAACATGGTGTGTCAATTTTTTTGACAGGAAAAAAAAAAAAAAATCAAACTTCAGAATGGCCATCCCTCCCTCAAAGAGGTACAGTACACAGTAAGAAATTCCTCGGCAAATTGGTGCAAAGGAATGCAGGACTCAACCCACACACCAGGAGGCTCACAGCCAGGAAGGGGGACTTGGAGAAAGCAGCCTGCTGGCCTGGTTCTGGCAGTGGTATGACCTTTGGGAAAGGTCATCATTTAACCTCACTAAGCCTCAGCTTCTCCTGTCGCTAAACTATCAATGTTGAGTGAGCAATGTCACTTTTGTCATTCAGACATTGGCATATGAATCAAATGCATGTTCAAACCCTGTAATGAAAACAAGCATCCTCCAAAATCAGCATATGGCACCCAACCGAGGCAAAAGAAGGGAGCAAGGCAGAGACTAGCAGCCTTTGGGGCAGAGCACAGGGAGAGTGCCAGGCCTAAGGCTCTGAGTCCAGTGTATGCTTTTGAGCCTGACCGGCGCGGCTATGCTTAGGCCAGACCTACAGCCCGGTATCCCGAGCAGACAAAGTGTCACTAAGTTAGAGCTGAAGAGATGGTTAAGAGTACACACTGCTCTCCTAGAGGGACAACCCATGCGGGGCAGCTCACAACTGCCATAACTTCAGCTCCGGGCATCACAGTCTCTGGCCTCCACACACAAGCAGACACTCACATACCACATGTGATGGCTAATCATGGTTGTCAACTTGACCACATCTGGAATCAACTAAAACCCAAGCAGCTGGACACACCTGTGAGGGATTTTTCCTGAAGTAAGAAGACTCACCCTAAATACACATAATTTGAGAAGAAGACACACCCTAAATCTGGGCCAAACCTTCTAGTGGCAGCCTACATAAAAGGATGACGAAGTAGGAAGTTTTAGCTTTTTGCCTGCTTGCCCTCGTTCTGGCTGGCAAGTTCATCCATCCTGCTGTGGAGGCATTCCTTCACTGATATTAGAACCTACTTCTTTGGGATTCCAATGTAGACTGGAAACCTGCTGAGACATCCGACCTCAAGGACAAAACAACTACTAGATTCTTGGCCTTCCACTGGAAGACAGCAATTGGACTTGCTGGACCACAGCCTGTAAGCCACTCCTAATAAATCCCTGTTTAATATATACAGAGTCATTCTATAAGTTCTGTTCCTGTAATGAACCCTAACTAACACACCGTAAACTTAAAAACAAAATAAATCAGGCTGGAGAGATGGCTCAGAGGTTAAGAGCACTGGCTGCTCTTCCAGAGGTCCTGAGTTCAATTCCCAGTAACCACATGGTGTCTCACAACCATCTATAATGAGATCTGGTGCCCTCTTCTGACCTGCAGGAATACATGTGGGCAGAACACGGTGTACATAATAAATAAATAAATCTTAAAAATAAATAAATCCTTAAAAAATGATAATTACTAATTTGAGGTACAATTTATTTCTTCATAAACAGTAAATATGCACACAATAAATAGGTAAATAAATAAATGTAAAAAAATAAAACTGAAAGACAAGCCAGGCATGGTGATGAGCAGCACCTTTCACTGCTGCTTGGCTAAGAGTGCAAAGCCATTGCTGTGCGTAAGAAAGGAGACTAAGGAGCCCTGTGAATATAAAATAAACACAGACAAGGGCAGTGTCACTGTAAGTGTATTCATTTGTTCATATATTAAATACATAATTATTATAACGCGTTACAGCATTATTATAATATGCATGCAGTGTAAGTATGGTGAGTCGCACCTGTAATCGCAGACTACTGAGAAGTCAGGGCCAGTCTGGGATACACAGTGAGCCTCTATCTCAAAAAAGGGGCAAACGCTAAAGTAAACAGGAAGAGAGAAGGAAATGACAGGAAAAGAAAAAGAGAAAGCAAAGGGGCTGGAGGGTTGGTTCCGTGAGTGTGCATACTGCTCTTGAAGAGAGCCAGAGCTTGGTTCCCAGGACCCACGGCCAGTGATCACCACCTCCTCCCTCTCTCCCTCTCTCTCTCTCTCTGGGGACCCAACACCCCCACGTCCAGTGCTCACCACTTCCTGTAACTGTCTCTCTCTCTTTGGGGAACCCGACACCCCTTACTAGCTCCTTCAAGCACCCACACACATGGGTACATGCACAAAGATAGATACTTGTTTTTTTTTTTTTTTTAAGATTAAAAAAGCGGGCATAGAGATGGTTAAGAGCGCAGGCTGCTCTTTCAGAGGGACCTGAGTTTGATTCTCTGTATCCTCACAGTGGCTCACATAACTCCGGTTCCAGGGTACCCAGCAGCCTCTTCTGGCCTCCATTGGCAAGTACACAGCCACAGATGCAGCCAAAACACCCATATACATGTTAAAAATACATAAATAAATAAACAAAAAGCACTTTAAAAAGAAGATGACAATTCAAACAAACAAACAAACCCAGCATGCACAGACACAGCACAGGGCTGGGAAGCAATACTGTAAGCTACTGTCACAGAGGAAAGTCCTACTGTGACACCACGTGTGCTAATTTAGTCTCCTCAGGACCATCCAAGGGCCGCTAGCCACGGCCAGGCCATCAAATGCCATTACCTGCCACACTCGCACCCACACAGAGCAGGGCTATTTCATTAGAGAGCCTAGAGAGCACCGGCACTCAGAAGGGCCTGACAGGCAGCAGCGCCCACACCGGCCTTTCTCCTCACCCTTCAAAGCCCTGCTCACCTCCCTGCCTGGAGCTTTTGTTTGGTTTTGAGACAGCCCTGGCTGTCCTGGAACTCAGAGATCCTCCTGCCTCTGCCTCCTGCGTGCTGGGGGTAAAGGCCTGTGCCACCACCGCCTGGCTCTCTATTTGTAGCTTAAACCAACAAGGGCCTCAAGTGACTTCGGCCATCAGCTGGAAGGAGGCGCACCCACATCAAAGATACCTGCTGTGCTGAGAGGCATCCAATGCCAAAAAGCCAAGACTTGGAAATGCCCGAGGCAGAGAGTTAAAATGGGGGGCCAGGCTGGCAGAAAACCGGCACCACGGGGTGTAGAAGAGGACCAATGTGCAGTCACTACCATTTGGGTTCAGAAAATCCATAAGGTCCTGTAGGGAGAGACAACAGTTAAAAGTCAGCATTAAATGTACATGTGTGACCTAGGCAAGGAAGGAGGGGAGGAGCTCTTTAGGTTAAAGGACAGCCTAGATACACAGCAAGTCCTAGGGCAGTCAGGGGTAGAGGGAGACCCTGTAGCAGAACAAAGCCAAACAAACAAGTATGCATGTTGCCGGGCATCAGTGCCTCACACCCTTAATCCAAGCACTCAGGAGGCAGAGGCAGGTGGATCTCTGTGAGTTCAGGGCCAGCCTGCTCTACAGAGCGACTTCCAGGACAGCTAGGACTGTTACACAGAAAAACCTTGTCTCAATATATATATATATATATAATTTTTACTTATGTGTTTGTGCGTGTAATGTATGCATATGTGCATGCAGAAGCCATGGAAACCAGAAGAAGGCATCAGACTCCCTGAGCTGAAATTACAGGCTGTTGAGATGCCCAACATGGGTGTCTGGAACCGAACTCTGGAAAAGTCCTCTGGAAAAGCAGCAAGCACTCTTGTTAGAGGCTTACTCCTCCGCCTGTGAGTATTGGAAGATAGTTGCAACATCAGAAGGTGAACTCCAGTGGGAGGTCATAGGTCACTGGAGCATGCCTTTGTTGTTTCTGTGCACGTGTGTGCCTGGTGCCTGTGGAGGTCAGGAGAGGACGTCAGATCCTCTGGAACCCGAGGTACAGAAAGAAGGTTGTGACTGCCATGTGGGTGCAGGGAATGGAACCCAGGTCCTGAGAAGAGCAGCCAGTGCTCCTGACCTCAGAGCACCTCTCCACCCCTGGAGAATGCCTTTGAAAGGGATTGTCGCTCCTTCATCTTGTTTTCTTTCATTCACAGGATGGATAACCAGGCTGCCTCTTCCTCTCCAGGGCTGGGACTAAACGTGTGCAACGCCTCGAACCTTGACATCTTCATTCTCTTATTACCGGCCAGTCCCCAGGAGGGGAGGTATTTCCCACCATGTGCTCCCACCATGGTGCTCCTTACCTCAGGCCCCAAAACAACAGCCAAGTGATGGCTCCAAAACTGTGAGCACAAACAAGCTCTCTTTCTTTTTCAGTTGATGGCCTCAGGCATTTTGTTTCAGTAAGAAAAAGATAACACATAAACAATTTCCAACTGTCATCTTGGCAGAGCTAAAGTCAATGTGTACGGCCAAAGGTTAGTGCAGTTCACGGGGGCACTGTCCCTGTCACCAGGCTGGCAGGTCGTGTGTGACATCGCATGGCCTAACAACAGTGCTTAGAAGACACTCTGGAGGGAATGGGGAAGCTTCATGAATTAAATACACCATGTCCTCTATGACACTGAGCCACCACTGCATCTTAGCCATCTACAGTAACTGTCTACCATTATTCCAGAATACCCTTGTTTATCCAAGTAACAGGAAACATGGGGTTTGAGACAATGGTCCCACTCACTGCAGACCTAACACTAGACTCACACTCTTTAGAGGATGAGAACTTCATCACTGGCACATTTCCCAGCATAAACACTCAACTGCCGCTTTAGTCATCGCTTTTCTTTTCTTATAAAAAGATTTATTTTTATTATGTTTTACTCGTGTGGGTATCTGAGTGTAGGTGTATGCACCTGCATGCAGGTGCTCGAGGAGGCCACAAGGGGGCACTGGATCCCCTGGAGCTGAGTTCTGTGTGCATGTGAACCATGCAGTGTGTGTGCTGGCAACTTGAACCCTTGGGAAGAGCAGATGAATGCTTTCTTCACTACTGAGCCATCTCTCTAGCCCCTCACTCAGACTTTTTAAGATTTTTTTTTTTTTGGTAGTACTTGGGATTGGAAGGAAGCTAGGGCCTTCTACATGCTAGGCAGATGTCTATCCCTGAGCTAGTCTCAGCAATAAAAAAGAAAAGTATTGTGCCTCTGACCCCAAGCACCCACCTGCCACCAGGATGCTTTTCGTGAGACTTGGTGGTAAAGATTATCACAAGAATGACTAGCCTCTGGTCACCTAAAAAACATCTTTTGGGGGCTGGAGAGATGGCTCAATGCTTAAGAGCACCAGCTGCTCTTCTAGAGCACCCAAGTTCAATTCCCAGCACCCACATGATAGCTCACAACTGTCTGTAACTCCAGTTCCAGGGGATCCAACACCCTATACAGTGTATACACAGGCAAAACACCAATGCACATTTAATTAACTGATTGATTGATTGATTTAATTTTTTTGTTTTGTTTTTCGAGATAGGGTTTCTCTGTGTAGCTTTGCAGCCTGTCCTGGAACTCGCTCTAAAGACCAGGCTGCTCTCGAACTCACAGAGATCCACACCACCACCACCTGGCTGAAGTCTTTTCTTTTTAAGATAGCAGCTTAGTTGAGAGAATGCTTACATGGGCAAAGCCCTGTGTTCAATCCCCAGCACCTCATATAACTAAGTGTGGTGGTTCAGGCCTGTTACCCCAGCACTCCAGACCTGGGGGCAGGAAAACCAAAGTTTAAGGTCATAGGTCATCCTCTGCTATATAGCAAATTCAAGGCCAACCTGGGATACCTGTCAAACCCCTGTCTTTTCTGAGACCGTCACTAAAGAGCTGCGGCTGGCCGTGTGAACTGGGTTACAGGCCTGTACCACCACATCCAGTTTCACATAAGGGACTGTAGTAATATTTCATCTTCCCATACACTTGCACTGGGGCCGCCACCCAACACTACCCTCACTTACGGTGGACGGAGATGAGGCTGAGGGTGGCAACACCCTCTAGTCACACCCAACCTGAGCCCAGGTGTTGGAGACCAGCCAGGGGGGCAATGTCCATCTGAAAGTTGATTGGTACTAGAGTATTACATCGTAAGGGTTAAATTTGGAGAGACAGAGACATTATTAATGCAGGCTTCCTACCTGGGACATGTTTAAAATCTTCAGGGTGAAATTTTCCAGCCCGGTCACATTCCTCTCCTCACAGTTCACCTTGGGGGACTTGAGGCTGTCGGTGCTGTTGGCATCCTCCGTGGCTACTGGCTCAGTCTCAGCTGCTCCAGACTCGGCGTAGTCTTCCTCCTCCCGCTCTGGGAAGCCACCCACACCGTGCATCGCGAAGAGGCTCTCTTGGCTGCAGCTCGGGTCCTCTCCCAGTGTACTGCAGGTGCCATCTCGGGCCTCGGCGCTCCGTGGGTCATCGGCTGCACCCGGAATCACCGACAGCACCACCACGGGGTCTCCACGGGGCCCCGGCCCCAGAGAGGCACTGGCAGGCTCCGCCACCCTCTCCTGTCCTCGATGGCCCTTCGCAGCCTCCTCTTCATCCAAGTACAGGGCCCCAACCTGGAGCGCTGGGTCAGGCTGCTCCTCCCGCCACACGTGGCCACTCTCCTCAGCAACTAAAGCAGGGCAGCACATTGTCACATCTGACTCGAAAGCAAATGAACCCCAAGACTTACAGTTACCTTCCAAAATGAGGCCTACCCCGACGGAGGAAAAGGTTTCCATTTTCCTAGCAGCCATGGAGACCATAGTCAGGGCTGCTGAACTGACAGGTGCCAAGTAAAAAGATAAACACAGAGCACACCAGAAACCTTTCAATTGTCACACGAACTACAACAGATAAAAAGCCTCGGGTGAAGACCCAGTTAGGAAAAGGTAACAGAGACCCTAAGAAATAATAATGGATGATGGCCCATAGCTCTAAACCCAGTACTTGGGAGACAGAGGCAAGCAGATCTCTGTGAGTTCCAGGCCAGGCAGGGCTGTCTCACTAGACCCTGTCAAAAGAGGGGAATTTCTTATTTAACCTGACAGACTGCTGCTTGAGGCATGCATACGATCACAACTGCTGTATCACTAGTTTCAAGTAAATTGCTGGGGAAATAAAGTGAAGATGGGAGGGGAGCACTGGGCCTGCTCTTCAGGGAGCACTAGACCTGCTCTGCCAGGGAGCACTAGACCTGCTCTGCCAGGGAGCACTGGGCCTGCTCTTCAGGGAGCACTGGGCCTGCTCTTCAGGGAGCACTGGGCCTGCTCTTCAGGGAGCACTGGACCTGCTCTTCCAGGGAGCACAGCACCACCCAGAGTCAGTACCTTCCCACCTTTCAGCCTCTCTCATGAGGCGCTCTGCCTTCCATGCAAGGATGCCTAATGAGGAAGCGCAGAACAGGCTGTGGCAAACCTGAACTTCCCCAAGGCAATCCTCACTGCGGTCCAAGCGGAACCAGAGGTTGCGCAAACCTGTTCTTACTTCTCCCCAACATAAAACACTGCTCTGTGTGATTTATACTCCATACCGTCTGGCTCCTGATCACTTTCACCATCCCTGACTGGCCTTGGACCATTCCTCAGGATGGTTTCTCTGCTAAGAAAGCCCTCTACAAGGGGCTAGAGAGATGGCTCAGCAGTTAAGAACACTGACTGTTCCCAGCACCCACAGGGCAGGCAGCTCACAACTATCTACAACTCAAGTTCCAGGAGACCTGACACGGTCACATCAATGCACATAAAATATAAAATTAAATGAATTATTTTTTAAAAAAGTCTATTACCATTCCTCTTCACCTCCAGGCAAATTCAATATCCTTCAGATGGACACACTACACTTCCACAGGAACATCTATCTATCCTAACTTCTAGACCAGGGTAAGCAGTCCCCACATGGCACCCAATGATGTCCTGGGACTTTCCTTGATGTACTTTGCACCCTTATAATTCACTTAATAATTTGTATTCGTTTGATGCCTGTCTTGCCCCCCAAATAGCAAGGCAGGCTCTCTACTTTGGCTAACCCTTCCCTGCACACTGGTGCCCAACAGTACAAGGCATATGATCCGTGAGAAGGCTCTGACAGTGGGCCGGATGCGTGATTCATAGCTGTAACCCGGATAATAGGGAATCTGAGGTGGGGGATTTCTAGGGTGACAGCCCTCAAAAAAAAAAAAAAAAACAAGTGACAAAATAACAATCTGATATTTTACTGCCTAGTAAAGATTAGCATAGGATCTTGGATCTCAAGAGCAGGTGTTCACCCCCATTCCTAGGCACCTGGGCAGCACCCCTAGCCCCAGATGCTAACCCATCAGTAGTATCTGCTAGGAGGGAAGGCAACTGCATGAATGCATGAATGAATCTTGCATTTTGCAATGAGCTCATGATGACTTCCAACCCTGGAAAATCTGAGAATGTATTGAGGGACATTTAATGTGTTCGTTGAATGTAGAGAAACGACAAGAAATATTGTTTTGTTCCTCCTGCTTGTTTGTTACAGGGTCTTGTATAGCAGAGGCTGCCTTTGAACCCTTGACCCTGCCTCCACCTGTGCAGGGTTGGGATCACAGGCCTGAGCTGTCACACTGGTCTTCAAAGCGGTATTAAAGAACTCCAAGATCAGGATGGGAGAGGGAAAGCTAGGTACTCACATTATCTCATGGCTGCCGCAACAGAAACGGTCTAGAACCTCAAGACAGCGAGCACAGGCCAAAGAGAGCAAAGCAGCGTTGCTGCTTTCTGGGTAGGACAGAGCAGGCCTGTAACAAGTCCTGGGAAGTGAGCCTGGGGAGCCAACATGCTCACCTCCTTGGCCCTTGCTCCCGTGTCTTCCAAAGTCAAGAGAGCCCATTAGCCCACACCCCTTCCTCACTCTCAAGGCCAATGATTAAATGGGATGGAAATACACAATTCTGCCTGTGAGATCTGGCAGACACCAGCTTACACATTGACCCTCAACTCTGGCTGTATAATGTTGCCACGAGGTTTAGTGGTTGTGAATCAAGTGGGAACGATGAGGTCTGTAATCCCAGCACTGGACAGGCAGAAGAGTCACCAATCTGGCTGTCTCAAAACAACAACAGCAATCAAAAATGCATGGTATGGTGTCATAACCACAATACTTGGGAAGTGAAGGGGGCAGGATTGGGGATCCAAAGCCAGCCAGGCTTATATGAAACCCTGTCTCAAAAACACCAAATAATAATTATTTATGTTACTATGCATCACCCTTCTCTGAGCTCAGCATTGTCTCCTTGCAGGGCATCCCGGGGGAAGGAAAAACTTTTTTTCTGTCAAGAAAGGGGCTTTAATAGGGGTGGATCAAGCTAAGGCCTCTTCTCACAGCGGCTTCCCTTCCTCACTGAGGGGGTCCTATGTGCACGGTCCCCAGGATCTGCTGTCAAGTTTGCCGGTCTTTGCTTCATACTGCGCAAGAGTGGCCATCTTCAAAGAGTGCTCCAGCAGGATAGACTCCCGCACGGGAAGTCGGAGAGACTTCAGGATCTGGCGTTTGCCACCAAGTGCGAGCTGACAAACTGTTTATCCCTCCCCTCCCCGAGACGACGGTATTAGTAGGGGCCGCCTCTGGGGTGGAGAAGGACTGGCTGGCAGGCATCGCGACGAGAGCGATCTGGTCACTCTCAATAACGAGGCGCTCATCACTAACGGGAACGGACGCCTCGGCGGGCGCCCCGCACGCCCTCCGCCCCGGCCGCCCCGCCCCGGCCCGGCCCGGCCGCCCCGCGCAGCCGCTTCTCCCGGCCGCGGCCGCACTCACCCTCCAGGCCGCGGGCCGGAAGGCCCAGCACCCACAGCAGTGCCTGCCACCAGCAGAGGAGCCGCATGGCGCGCGACGCGGAGCCGCCGCGGCGGGGACAACCGGCGCACGGCAACGGGAGTCGCGCCCCCGGCGCCAGCGAGGCTGGGGGGCGGGGGCGGGGCGGGGGCGGAGACCTGAGGGCGCAGGCGTGGCTGCGCGCCGCCATCTTGACTCCTGGCGGCAGCTGCAGACGCCATCTTGGAGTTGGGCGGCCGGCTTCCGGCCAGCCGTGTGCGACCTGTATTGGGTGTTTTTTTCGAGGTCAAAGCAGACGTTATCCCCTCCCGTATCATCTCCCGGCTGCTTGCAGCGCATACTGCATCTGCCTGCAGAGCCAATGCCCTTCATTTCCAGAGACAAACAGGCTCAGAAGCTTGTGGGCGCACAATGGAAGAGGGGCAGAACGTTGGGAGATCTGTTACTTCATGCTACACTAGCCTATGTTGCCAGACAGGATAAATCCAGTTAAGTCTGAGTTTGATGCTGCTAAGTTTTTATATATGTGCTTCATGTATCTGAGCATCCTGTCATTTACTACACCTGGCAAGTAAGGTTAGTTGGCTTTAACGATGGGGTCAGAAGATAATACAGGCTGAGAACTTTAAAGGACAGTGGAAGGCCTGCCTCTTCAGAAGCAACTTCAGAACCAAGGCCTACCCAGGTGTGGGGGTTCATGCCTAAAATCCCAGCACTAGGAAACCTGGGAGGCAGGAGAATTACTGTGGGTTCCAGTCAGTCGAGGCTACATCTTAAATTCCAGATCATTCTAGGCTACAGACTGAGACCTGGTCTCAAAAGTGAGAGGGAGGGAGAGGAGGAGAAGGAAGGGGAGAGGAGAGGCTGCCATGTGGGGCTGAGAATTAAGCCTTGAGCCTCTGCAAGAGCAGCAAGTGCTCTTAAACTCTGAGCCACCTCTGCGGCCCCAATATAACATTCCTTTTTTAAAAATTTTCGTGTGTGTGTGTGTGTGTGCGCGCGTGCGTGCGTGCGTGCCTGCCTGCCTGCCTGCCTGCCTGTCTGTGCAGTGTATGAGCCTGTTTGTGCATATAGGCCAGAGGAAGATGTCAGGTATCACTCTCCATCACTCTCCACCTTGTTTCCTTGAGACAGAACCTCCAGATGAACCAGAAGCATGCTAGGCTAGCAAGCCAGTGAGCTTCCCAGAATTCATCTGTCTCCAGCCACCAACACCAGGGTTACAAGCATTCACAACATGCCCAGCTCTTGACGTGGGTGCTGGGGACACAAGCTAGGGTTCTCATGCTTTTTCCTACTGAGTCATATCTGTAGCAACGTTTTCTTAACATTTATTTCATTTGTAAAATGGGGGTGAAATACATAGTATCATGTGGCTGATGAGCTCAGGGCCTGAGCACAGAAAGCATCTCAAAGCAGTGGCCGTTACTAAGTGGATCATGCAATTCCAGTACAGCTAAAGTTTCCTTTTGCCCATCAGACAGAATGTTAGAGGAGACAAATGCATCGCTGATCTGACCCCGGGGATGAGTCTGATAGCTCAAGTGTGTTCAGGGGAATCTGCAGCACAGGACAGATGACCCAAGAGGCTGAAGTTCTGGAGTTTATCTACAATCATTTACCACACTGTCTCCTCCCACGCTTCCCCTATCTCATTTGAAGTGTGTGGAAAGCAAACAGGATGGAGCACTGGAGGGGTGTGAATTCAGGAGGTGGGGACGATTTCCCTCATCTGCACCTCAGCCTGTGCCCACCCACCAGTGTCACTGTGGCCCCCTCTTCAGCTGTGTGCTCTGCATCACAGATGCTGTAAACGTTCTTCAACAGCTATGTTGTGCTGGCTAGTTTGTGTCAACACGACACAAGTTATAGTCATCTGGGAGGAGGGAACCTCAGTTGAGAAAATACTTCCATAAGATCGGGCTACAGGCAAGCCTCTAGAACAGAGTTTCTCAATATATGGGTCGAGACCCCTCTGGAGTTGAACAGCCCTTTCATAGGGGACACCTAAGACTATCGGAAAACACAGATATTTACATTATGATTCATAAAAGTAGCAATGTGTGTGTGTGTGGTGGGGGTCAGCCCATTGTGGATGGGGCCATCCCTGGGCTGTTGATACTGGGTTCTATAAGAAAGACTAAGCAAGGCATGGAGAGCAAGCCTGTAAGCAGCATCCTCCATGGCCTCTGCATCAGCTCCTGCCTCCAGGCTCCTGCCCTGTGTGAGTTCCTGTCCTGACTCCCTGAGTTCCTGCCTTATTTTCCTTCACTGACGGACTACGATATGAAAGTGCGAGGCAAACAAACCCTTGTCTTTGGTCAGGGTGTTTATCACAGCTACATACACCCTAAGACACGGTGTGCTATCGCAGTTAAATAAGGACCAGGGTAAACAAATACAGCTACATACACCCTAAGATATGGTATGCTATTGTGGTTAAATAATGATCAGGATAAACAAATAGGCCGAATAGATGTTTATTCAGGGAGAAATAACTTACAACCTAGACAGATGAACACCAGCAGGTTCTACCGGATGTATATTACCCTTCTGTGGTCTTTGAAGGAATTGAAGACAGATAGTTATGGTTATACTTTTCCTTAGTTAGGCTTAAAGATAAGTTACATACAGTACTTCAGACTCACAAAGATAGGGTAGATGTTGGAATATTGTCTTTAAATCTTGCTAAATGTTAATGGACTAAATGTTAACTGTGATTCTTATTTGATAACTGTTATGTGATATATTTTGCTATACTAAGGTTAAAACCCTTCTTTTTGTTTTAGACAGAAAAGAGGAGATGATGGGAGATGTCATTCTGTATGTTTATTATACTGGTTAATGAATAAAGCACTGTTGGCCAATAGGAAAGGAAGATAGGAAGGACTAGGAGACAAGGAGGAAAGAGGAAGTAGTAAGGAGGAGTCAAGATGGAGAGTCTGGAGAAGGAAGAACCACCAGCCACCTCTCGCTGGTAAAACCACATGGAAATACATAGAAATGGGCTAATAATTAAGACAGAGCTAGCGGATAAGAAACAAGTAACTGGGCCAACAGCACTGTATCAAATACAGAGTCTCTGTGTATTATTTGGGGCTGGCACGGCGGCGGGACAAGACTAGGCGGTGGACAGAAAAACCTTACTCCTTACAGTATGCACACAGTCTCTAATGCCAATTCAGTAAAGCAAGGCAACAGGATAAAAACCAATTACACTATCTTGTCACCAGCAGGTGGGGTCCCTGCCCAACTCCAGTGACATGGCTAGAAACCTTCAGGTCTGTCCTGGTTTTTGCTGGAGTTGAATCTATGTCAAGACATGTAGCCTAGGATTGTTCATATAAAATGTTGATATGAATTGCAATTGTTCCATACAGCCACAGACATGTACCTGTTAGGATCCAACCTTGTCCTTGATGAATCTGCTTAGGCTTTCTCCTTCCTTCCTTCCATTTTCCTGTCTTCCTTCCTTCCATTTTCCTGTCTTCCTTCCTTCCTTCCTTTCTTCCTTCCTTCCTTCCTTCCTTCTTTTTCCCCCAAAGATACTGTTCCTCTTTAAACCCTCTTAGATATCTCAGTCTGAGGAGTTGTAAGAGCACAGTTCTTTAAGATCACTGTAGCAAACTATTTCCTGTAGTCACAACTCACCATCCCAGTGCTGTTTAATGGTGTAAATTTGCTACAACCTGGTCACAGGTATAATCAAGCTCTTCCCTGGGGATCTCTGTGGACTTCTGGTCCATGCACCCTCCACAGAGAGTCTTACATGCCCTAGGACTCATAATAGTCTAGAATACACAGCTTCATCCTCCTTTGCTGTAGAATTTGCACAGGAGCCCATGCCACCAGCCATGCATTCAGACTATCCCGAGTCTGCCATACCCTGAAGGAACTCAAACTGGCTTGCACAGAGAAAGCCTGAGATAGCAGGGCAGGGCAGGGCGTGGAAGAAACCAGTCAGCAGTGAGGGAGCCTGGACACCACTCCTCAAGTATGGGTAGAACAGTGTATGCCACACAGATGACCTATGAGGTGGTCTGAATGTGATTGGCCCTCATAATCTCACAGGGAATGGCACTATCAGGAGGTGTGGCTTTACGGGAGTGGATATGGCCTTGTTGGAGGAAGTGTGTCATTGGGGGTTGAGGAGGCTTTGAGGTTTCCTATGGTCAGGATACTGCCCAGTGTCTCAGTCTATTTCCTGTTGTCTTCTTGTCAAGATGTAGCCGGCACCATGCCTGCCTGGGTGCCATCATGCTCCCTGCCATGATGGCAATGGGCTGAAACTCTGAAACTGTAAGCCACCCCAATTAAATGTCTTTCTTTATGAGAGTTGCTGTGGTCACGGTAAAGAAATAGAAACCCTAAGATAACCCAATCTTCTAGGCATGGGGTGCCATTGAGACTTCTAGCCCTTCTCCAACTTCTGGTTCACTTCCTCCATTGGAAGTGCATTCTTCCTTAATAAACTGTCTTCACTAATTAGGAAAAAAATCTTATTCTGAGCACTGCGGAGGCAGAGGCAGGAGAATCATTGTGTTGCAGGCCAGCCTGGTCTACAGAGCAATTATAATAATAATAATAATAGTAATAATAATAATAGAAAATAAAGATGCTCCCCAGCCCTGCCAGCCTGTCCCAGCCCCAGCGAGAGACCTTGCAAGAGGCACTTTGATGAGCTCTTCCCAAATGCCTGATGCACACAGAGGATTCACTTTAGGTTTATTTTTGCGTGGACTTACCATGCCTTCATGAGTGTAAGTGCACCAAATGCATACAGGTGCCTGGGGAGGCCAGGTGATACTGGACCCTCTGGAAGTGAAGTCATAGATAGGCAGGTGTGAGCTACTCAGTGTGGGTGTCAGGAACTGAACCTATGAGGGCTGCTACAGCATAGTACAGACTCAAGTGCGGAACAATCTCTCCAGCCCCATGGCTTTCCTAAGGTAAGTTCTCTGTGTGGCCAATGGGCTTTGAACCATTGATCCTCTTTGCCTTGGCTTCCCATGTGTTATGGTTATGGGTGTGAGCAACACAACCAGCAGAAACAGACACTGCCAAGAAGTAGTTACTGTCAGGCTGGGTTTCTCATTCAAATGGCAGAGCACTTAGCCAGCATGGTCATAGCAAAACCAAACAACAAGCATGTGATGTTACTACCTTTCGTTTTATAGATAGCCAGGTCACTTCATTTTGCAATGGAAGACCCTTAAAGACAATGTGAATTCATTTAATAAATGTTGTGGAGTGCATTCAGTAAATTTTTCCAATTTTAACACTTTTTGTTTGATAAAACGAACTGAATGTACTCATTTTGGTTTCTAGTTTACTTATGTGCATCGATGCGTGCCTTCATGAATTTATGTGTACTAGATGTATGTATTTAACGGTGGAGGGCAGAGAGCACCGGATCCCCTGGAACTGGAGTTACGGGCAGCTGTGAATCCCTTGACGTTGCCCCCGCAGTTACAACAAAGACTAAAATGAACTCCTTCAGTAATTTATTACTATATGACACTACACAGTGAGCTCCAGACTGACAAGCTAAAGCTACTTAACGAGACATACTCCCACACAAAGATGCTACTCCCATTTGACATAGAGAAAACCAAACTTCAGGTTTAGGTCACACAGGATTTCAACAAAGCTAAGACTAGAATTCTAACCTGAACTCAAACACTCTGGTACCATGCTGTTATCGCCAACCCTCATCAAGTGCTATGCCACATTTTGAACCTGGACTGTCCCCCAAGATCTTGGTCCCCTGTTGGGCACTGCTGAGATGGAAGAATGCAGAGAGGTCTCCTTCAAGGTCTTTAGTTAGTGAAGATGTGCCCTTAGTGGATACTACAGGGCCCCGTCTCTTCCCTCTATCCCTTCCTGGCCACATGTGAGCAACTTGGCTCCACCAAATCATCCCTGCTAGAGACGCCGCCTCAGCACTGGCCAAAAGCAGTGGAGCCAACAATCATGGACTGAAGCCTCCAAATCTGTCAGCCAAAGGGATCTCTCCACTTTATAAACTTGTCATCTGGCGTGGCTGTCACAGTGACGGAAAGTAACCATGTATTAAGAATTGGAAATAATCACTTTTATAATCAGCACATTTAAATAAGCTAATTTCAGACTTGGACACAGTGGTACAGACCTATCAAGCCATCCTTAAAAGGATCACTTAAACTGAGTGGTGGCGGCACACACCTTTAATCCCAGCACTCAGGAGGCACAGGCAGGTGGATCTCTGAGTTCGAGACCAGCCTGGTCTACAGAGTGAGTCCTAGGACAGCCAGGGCTGTCACACTGAGAAAACTGTCTCAAAACAAACAAACAAACAAACAAAAAGTATCACTTAAGCCTAGGAATGACACCGGTGAAATAAGAATCTCTCACAAAATAAATTGGCTTAATTTATACACTAATGAGCAGCCTACAGGGAGTGGTTTAAGATTACAGAGAAGATAATCTCTAAGAAGATTAAGTCTAGGGAAGGGTAACTGTGAGAAGGGAAGTGAGCACCTCCTCCCATTATCAGAAGTGAGGGCAGGAGAAATGTTTTCTCTGCAGAGAAGGTGGCCATGCCGGTACTGGTCCTCACGCCTGTAAATGCCAGCCCAGAGGCAGGGTAAGTTCCAGTTCAAGGTGGTGCCACAGTGAGCTTGTCTCAACAAATGAAAACTAAAACTTCTTAAAGTGTGTACCGGTTACTCTTTATAGCATACCAAAACACAAGGAAGCTATCAAAACTCAAAATGACCAAGGAATGGCAGACATCGGGTAAAATACTCATCATACAAAAATGATTACCCGAGCTTAATCTTCAAAATCCATATAAAGACAGTAGAGAAGTAATTCCACAAAGATGTTCTCTGACTGCCATACTTACGCCCTGGAATGAATCAAACACATACAATGATTAACATTTTTAAATGGCTAAGGAGCCTAAATGGCTCGCTCCTATAGTGCAAAACCAAAGCATTTTGAACCTAATAATGAACAATCTTAATAGAATGACATCTAGTGCCCATTGTGGAATATAAAGATGTGTTGCATTTATTTATGCTGTGGAATATTTAATGATACAAAGATGTGTTGCATTCTTTTACATTGCATTTCACTTTGTAAAGCTGTGTGAGTGTGCCTGCACAGCTGGTCTAATAAAGAGCTGAACAGCCAATAGCTAGATAGGAAAGGGAGAGGCGAGGCTGCAGGGGTCAGCCACCCAGCCAGTCATGGAGTAAGAAGGAAAGAAAGATGTATAGAATAGAAAAAGGAAAAAAGCCCAGAGACAAAATGTAGTTAAAACATTTAAATGGGATAATCTAGCTTATAAAAGCTGGCTAGAAACAAGCCAACCTAAAGCTAGGCATTTATAAATAAATCTCTGTGTATTTATTTGGAAGCTGGGTGGTGGGCCCCCAAAGAGTAAAAATCAGCAAACCAACTATAAGTGCTTGTATTAGGATGTTTAGCTCATGGGGCTGGTGTGATGGCTCTGTAAAGGCTTTTTTGTCCTGCCCAGCCCCACAGCCACTTTCAAATCATCACTCTGAGGCTCAATCACTTGCAGCTTCGAGGTGTTACCTGCTCTCTTGTCCCACCCACACCCTGGCGGGCATCTCCCAGACTCCGCCCTTCTTCTCCTGTATCTCAGCTTGGATTTCCTGTCTGGCTCTATCCTGTCTTGCTGTAGGTCAAAGCAGCTTCTTTATCAACCAATGGTAATAAAAATATGTTCACAGCATACAGAAGGGTTATCCCACAGCATGGCTCAGTGGGTGAAGTTGCTTAACAAGCTTGACAACCTGTCTTCAATTACAGGGCTCACATAGTGAAGAGAACCAACTACTGTGTGTTGTCCTCTGACCTCCAAGTATGCAGTATGATGGCTGGCTACACAGACTAAGCAAGGAAATGTGATTTCACTAGACCCAAGATAAAAAAAGATAAAAAAGCCACACCTCAAGCTTTCCTCTTTCTGCTTCCTTCTGCCTGAAGCAACGCCCAAAGTGGGTGTGGCCATCGTTACAGGTCCACAGGCAAGACTGCTACATGTTAATTTTTAAATTAAAAATTGTGAGTTCACAGATATTAAAAACATTTTCAAATACATTCTATTTCCATAACCTTTGGAAGATACTGGAAAACTCATTCTGAAAACCAATAGGATGGAGCTGAGGGATGACTCAGCAGTTAAAAGCACTTGATGCTTTTCCAGAGGACTTGGGTTCAGTTCCCAAAACCCACATGGCAACTCACAACTTCCTGTTAACTCCAGCTCCAGGGGGCTGGGTCCACTCTCCTGGCCTCCTCAGGCACCACACAGGCAATCGTGTGTATACACAAGTGAAACATTCACTAACTTATTGTGGAATAAAGATGTGGTACATTCTTTTGTGTTATATTTAACTCTGTAAAGCTGTGTTACTGTCTAAAACATCTGATTGGTCTAATGAAGAGCTGAATGGCCAATAGCCAGGCAGAAAAGGAGAAAAGAGAAAAGATAGGGCATCAGTGACCAGCCACCCAGCCAACAATGGAGTAAGAGGAAGATATAGAGAAGGTAAAAGCCCCAGAGGCAAAAGGTAGACAGAATAATTTAAGTTAAAAAAAAAAAATTTTTTTTTTTTTTTTTGACTAAAAGCCAAAGGCCAGGCATTCATAATCTCCATGTATTTATTTGGGAGGTAGGTGGCAGGCCCCCAAAGAGCATTGCTAGCATAGATTAAAAAGAAAATTCAGCTACACATATAATTAAAACTAAGTAAATCTTTTTTAAAAAAATAAATAAAACTAGAACTAGCTGAAAAGACCCTATTGCACGAGACCACGAGTTCTGGTGGCAGTACACCGGGGAATCAGGCTGGCACTGACCTGCACGTTGGTCCCCTGTAGACTGGCTCTCAGTGTTGAAGGAGCCACGAACCCTGCTTAGAGAGAGCTGTCTATCAACAGGCTCCCTCAGCTGTGGGCCTGTGCCCTATACTAGTAACGAACCAGGAAAGGTGGCCCCAAGGCTGCAACGGTGCCAAGTCTGTTGTGAGGGTGACCAGCTGCTTTCCGGTTAGATCTGCGACCTGCCCCACTGGAGGGAATTCACACCCCGTACTATAAACATGTTCAGAAGCGTGTGGCAGGGGAGGTCATAGCACCTAGTGGCAAAGCTATTGCTGTTTTGCTAAATGGACACGTACCTATCAAATTTCCTTTTAAAAAAATTATGTTTACACCCTCCATGTGTGCACCCTGGGTCCCTAGCTGATGGCAGATTCATAGGTTATGGGACTTTTAGGAGGCAGGTTGTGAGGTGGTATAGCCTGGTCCCACTTCCTGCTCACTCTCCTTCCCAACTGCCAGGCTGGCCTCACATTCCTGCTGCTATGCTGTTCCTACCATGATCTCTACTCTGAACTTTAAGTCAAAACAAACCCTTTCTTCCCTGGCTTGATTGTCAGGACATTTTATCACAGCAACGGAATGGTCAGATGCTCAGCCACAAATCCAACTGTCCTGGCTAGTTTTCATGTCCACTCACTGCAATTCAGAAACCCAATGAATTACAAATACATATTAAGTATTTCAGTAAAGAGAGGCAGTATTTAGAATGCAAAATCCCAAGAAAAATATACTAGCAGGAAATCATAAGGTTTTAGCATGCACAGCTTCGCTACTGTGCTAACAAAACAGAGGAAGGGAAGGCTCAGGGAGTGAGGGACCAGAGCCTGCCCAGCACCCAGAGTGCAGAGAGACAACCAACTCCCTCCCAAAGGTTGTCTTCTGACATCCACACGCACGCTGTGGCATGCATGCCATCTCCCACCACCACACACAAAATAAATACTAAATAAATAGGAAAAGCACAGCAGTAAATGGCTGGTTTTAAAGTGATGCCTTTATTAATAAATATACATCCATATGATGAAGTGGACACATCATGAACACTACTCCATTCCCATACACATAATTGCACATGAGTAGCTCAAGTCCATGGACATTAATTAAAACATACACAGTATCTATCCAGACTTTACAGCAGAGGACAACGTGCTTATTATCAGTTAAGTGGGAATTATTTGCTTCATAATTGTCTGTGGAAAAAGCAAATTGTAATCAAAGAATCAGAATGGCCTGATTAAATCACACAACTGGCTTGCTGCAGCACTAATTCTCAAAAACTTAAATACACTGAATGTGAGAGCACAGATTTGTCTACTTGGGGGAAAAGTGAGAAAAGCAAAGGAAAAATTCAGATACACCTTAGAGTTTGAGGGAAGCCAATGATGTTATAACAGAACAAAAGAGCATAAAACTCTTTATGCTCAAGACTGTTGTGAGCTATGATCTTACTGTACTGGACCACAAAAGCACATACCCAAGGGACTGATGGAGAGGTTATCAACATCCCCTGAACTGTTCTTTCAAAGCTTCTTAAAGTATAAAGAAGTTCATTGTCTAAACTCACACCGTGGTCATTCTTACACTGGATGAAGTACCCTTAACCTCAAATTAAATGAATCCAGATTTCACCTCATAGAAACTCAGTACTCTTATTTCATGAAAACACATATGTATGTAAGTTCACACAAACAGCAGTTTGCAATGAATAAATACCATATTGACAGATGTTTCTTTTTAAAAAGTAAATTAAAAATACAAAGAATTATTAGTCTTAAACACTGATTTTAAAAAATGTTCCCAAATATTAAAAATTAAACCAAGTACTATTTAATTTTTCAATATATTGTGCCAATATATTTTTTTTAATAACCAGTGCAAAACTCCAAAGATAGTATCAAAATCACCCCATACTAAAGATTAGTTAGGCAAAGTGATACCTGTGGAAAACAAAATTTCATCTGTATTGATTCCTTATTTGTTATAACAATAATAAATACGGCATGTTAAAATATTCTTTTAAGAAAAAAGTAAAACAACTTACTGGAATAGTAGATCATTTTCTGACAAACAGTTTTAATATAGAATAGTGAAACCTGTTTTATGAAGAATAGAATCACGCAGTATAAAATTAGCAATTTACCTTTTACGGAACAATTATACAGTGGGGGGAAGGGCAGTTTCCCCCCAACTGTTTAACATGCTATTTCAGTGTCTGCCACGTTACAACAGATGCAGAATGCAGTCTTTTAGCTCATGTAGAAGTAAAAACAGTTTATGTGAAGACCTCACTCTGCCATCACTTCTGTCTCTCTAGCGTGGTACTGGTAAACTGTCCACAAGGAGAGAATTAAGTAGAATCAGATGCTCACCAGTGCACACACTTAATATTCCAGGCATTAATTTCCAGGTAACTGCTCACTGCGACAGTGACGGTATCTATCCACAACTGTAGACACTCATCCCCTCTCCCGGGATAAGAGCTCCCGATAGTAACACTGTTATGAACACCTCTCAAACTGATGTCCCATTCATGAACACGTATACAAAACTCACTGTACAATTCACCCACTCTGTCTTCTGACACAGAGCACAGCACCACTGAGTAGATGTGCCGGGAGCTGGGGGAAGGGAAGGAAGAACCAGAAGGGCACAAAACCAGGAATGAAATCAAACTGAAAGGATAAGTAGACTTACTCTGAAATGCAACATGCACCCAAATCCTTGACCATGGCACTCACTATTCTACAGGAGAGTATATCAACTGTCTCCAGGAATTGCCGTGCAAAGATTTCAAAGCAGCAACTGCTGAACATCTTCAGAAACGGCTAAGTGACAGGTACTCAAGTGAGTAGATGAACAAATGAATGAAGATGCAAGCATTTGTGTGTGTCAGAAGCTATACTGTTCTGAGTAATTATTAAAAGCTTTATATTCTAAGCTTCTGCAAGAAGAAATTCTTGAAGCAATTTAGCTGCCCGAATGATACAGCTGGTTGTGTAGTCACCCAGCATTATTCGCTGTTCCCTACAGTTTGCACAAAGCTAGTACTGTTGAGGTCACTGTCCCCGCAGGCAGTGCAACACCTCTTTTATCAGAGCAGAAGCCCAGCTCTTGTGTCAGCCATCCCTGGGGCACCTGAGGTTTGCTGCTTGTCTCCTAATAAAGGTCTAAGACATGGCATTTACGTGCAGCCCGTTTACATGTACCGAGAGCAAGCCTAACCAATAGGTATGTGTCCTTTTTAAATTTGATTATATCTAAAGTTCTGGGTCCTGTAAATCTATATTTTAATATTAAAGGTATTTTGAAATGCAAGTAAAAAACATAGATTTTTAAGTTCAGTGAAAGCTTTTCATCTCCTTTTGCTCTGTTTTGTTAAGAGAGGGTTTCTACCTAGTGCTGGCTGTCTTAGAAATCATTATGTATACCTCTCAAACTCATATCCACCTGCCTCTGCTTCCCAAGTGCTGGGATTAAAGGTGTACCCCACCACTGCCCACTGAAGCTTTTCAATTCTAAAGTTCATAGTATTTTATTTAGAACAAACTCAGAATAAATAAAATGTGTATTAACAAGAAATATTTCAGAAAGATATTCCTCTGTAACGATACCCATGTGCCCATATTTTTTCTCTTTTCTATATTGCTCTTAAAGCAAGCCTCACTAGGGAGAAGAGATTTCTTTTGGGAGCCACAGCCATTTTTAAGCTAACCAGCACTCATTTTACAGGTTCACAAATACTGAGTTCCTTCGTGTCTTGGTATCTAGGTCTTGACAGCCAGGAAACTACTTTCTGCTTAGACCAGTTTTGCAGTCTACCACTCAAATTGTGTCCTTTGGTAGATATAAACCTGAAAATGTAGTGAAGTACTAATGCAATATAATAACAAGTACTCAGAAAACTAAAAACATTCTAAATAAATGAGCAATAATAATAAATGTTTTAAATATAATACTTTGAAACTCACCAAGTATTTGAAAGACAAAGCAGAATGATTATAGTTACATGCAGACCTAAAGGTTTCTTTTTTGCATATTAAATATAATGTGCAGGTTTATGAAATATTTAAGGGTTTTGCTGAAGTATGAATTATTTGTAGTGTTGGGTGTATATGCTCTTAAGCAACTGGAAAACATAACCTGTAACTATAACCTTTGCAAGACGAGTATTAAACAATCTTTAGGAATGATGATCAACTAATGTAATGTGACTCAATAAATAAGTTGTGTTTTACATTCCAAAGCATCCAAACAGCTGTGTCTTATTTCATGAAGTTCTAACTCATACAGCCGCACCCTTTGGTCTGTTCACTAGTTGCTGTTTTGCCCGTTAGTTAGAATGCCACAGGTCAGGCAAACCTTACTGCACTGGTTTACTCTCAACTGAAAGTCAACTGTGGCAGCTGGTTAGCCTGTGAAGGAAGGAGGCATCCACTAAGAATAGCCCAAAGGGAAAGCAAAAGTGGCTTCTCTGAGTGTTGTCTGAACCTTCAACAATGTAGATCCAATGCGCTACTCCTGCCCTACGTGCATCTGTCAACACGTGGCAGCGTTTGAGCAAAGAAGGAAGAAAGAAGTGGGGAGTAAGGGAGATCAACAGAAAACAACACGGGGAGTCCAGTGGCAAAGTCAAATGAAACCAAACAGCTTTGGACGCCTCAGTCTGCTCCTAACGCGCGCTCTCCTGCCTCGCTCATTCATTGGGCGGCTTGACTTCACCGCTGGTTTCCTGAACCCCGTGAACCGCTCTGCTATGCATCATAGGGTAAGGAAAGGCAGCAGTACCACAGCCGTAACCAAGATCTGCAAGCCTGGACAGAGCTTTAATGCTACCTGGAGGTCTCCCTGGGCTGACCTTGTACCCTGCAGCTTTGGTTGTACCCAAAGGCCTGCCTGGACTCGTCTTAAATCCAGCTGCTTTGGTAGTTCCCAGAGGTCTGCCTGTGCTGGTCCGGTATCCCGCTGACTTGGTGGTTCCTGAAGGCCGGCCACGCTTACCAGATCGATTGAGGTTTTTCTTTTTCTTTAGTTCATCTTTTATCTCTATGTTTCTGCCACTGGTAGGCTGCAAGTGCGTTTCATTTAATGGGTCTTGCCTCTGACAAACCATTGGTTTGTGGCTGACTGTGTGGCTGTATTTGCTTTGCTGGGAGGAATATATATCAAACTGGTCAGCAGCTCTCATGGCATCTTCATTGAGGCAGGAAGGCTTGCCAGGCCCACAGAATGCTGGATTACTGCCCGCAACAGGATGCATCATTTTCTATCAAAAATAAAGACAAATATGTATAAATACCTAGCATCCGGTGGGAAAACCACGTTTTAACAACTATATAGGGCAATAGGGTAGACTCCAAACATCTCTCTCTCTCTCTCTCTCTCTCTCTCTCTCTCTCTCTCTCACACACACACACACACACACACACACACACACACACACACACACACACACACACGGTGTTCCATGACAGTCTTACCACCCTCACCCAATTGAATCAATCCTTTCCTGGGGACAGAGACCCAGAAAACTCATTAAGTACATGAAATATAAAAGGCTCAGAAAGTTAGGAGATTCACTCTCCCTTCCCCTGCAAGCTTATAAAAGCAGGAAGGAGCTGAGAGAGAAAGACTCTCCAGTGGACGGGGAGTTAGCTCTAGGGATGTGACCTTTATGAGATGTGACCTTGCTGGGAAGTATGCCTCACTCGCTCACCACGCTAGCCCTGCTTGGAACTCCTTATTGGTGCCAGTTCCAGGGGACTGACACCCTTTTCAGACCTCCTTGGACACCAGGCATGTGCATGGTAAACATACATACATGCAGGCAAAATAGTCACACACATATTTTGTTTGTTTTATTTTTCTAGCTAGGGTTTGTCTGTGTAGCTCTGGTTGCCCTGGAACTCACAGAGATCCACCTGTGTCTGCCTCTGCTCCCAAGTGATGTGACTAAAGGAATGCACCATCACCCAGACACATAAAATGCCTTAAAAATCAAATTTTTAAAAAAGCTAACTTGAAACACTAACTTAATAACTATAATACTCTGATTAAAGCTGAACTAGAAAAATTAGTATTTTGTAGGCATTTTTCCCTTTTAAGTTATTAAAACCCTAGAAAGATAATAGTAAAAGCCAGAACAAGCCTCAAAGAGATGGCTCAGCAGGGAAAGGCACTTGCCACCAAGTCTAACATACTAAGTTCAATGCTGATGACCCAAAAGGTAGGAGAGTTAACTTCCACAAGCTGTCCTGACACCCACATACACACTGGCGTGCACACACACACACAAATAAATGTTAAAAAAAAAAAAAAAAAAAAAACCCAGAACCCTTATTAAAATGCTTTCCCATGCCTAACCTTAGAATGCCTTCGTTGGGTCTTGGCACATTCTCAAATGTATAATCTTAACCTCATCAGTTCCCACAAGATGGATACTCAGTCATTCTGTTAATTTATTATTGATGCAGAACCTTGAGTGTGTGTTACACTTTTCAAAAGCCAGACAGTGTCAAGCAAGAACACAATGTCTTGGTCCAGCACACAGAATCCCTTCCAATGACCTCTATCCAAACAAAAGGCAATATCAACACAAAGGATAAACAAATGTTTCTCTTAACTAAAACAGATGAGCACATACACAAACAGTGGGGACTGACTTACAAAAACATAGGCAAAAATCAAATACCGTCTACTCCAAACACAAACACTGACAATCAAACTGATCCTATACAGGGTATGCCGTCTTCTTGGTTCACAGGAGCCCTGAACAAGTCAAAAGTCAGTTTTGTTCTAGGCCCTTACTACAATTTTCACCTTGAGCACTACCGAGTTTTCAGACTGCAGCACTGTAACACAAGAAAGGCAAAGCCATGCCCTCGAATTCAGATTAAGGTCCCTTCTGAAATGTCGTCCTTCATATATAAAACTGCAACTCCCCAGAGAGCACAAATAAGGAACTTACTAAGTTCATAAAAGCACAAGGAACTAGGACTCGTGCCATCAAAGAAGGATTTGCTGTGACTCAATCAAGAGAGCGGATGCCCAGGCAGTTTAAGGTCTCAATTATGAAATAAAATATACACCAAGAAGAGAAAAAGCTGCTTGTTTATGGTCAGAGCAACCAACACAGACTTGAAATTATAAAACAAGTCAAAGCAAAACAAAATATTAAAAGGAATAATTTTACTCATTTCCCAAAGATATGAGTTAACTCTTAATACTTCACTAGCTACAATTTAATTTCAGATCAGAAATAGAGAGACGTTCCAGTTAAGTTTTAAACTTTAGACTCAAGCAGTGTCTGAGCATTTCCTATGTGCTGGATAGGCCTTTGCACATAATCCTCAGCACATGGTGCTGTTAAAGGGGAATGGGACTGGAGATGGCTCAGCAGCTAACAGCCCTTCTGCACAAATGAAAGGATTAGAGTCTGGCTATCAGCACCCACGTACAGACCAGTCCTGCCTACAATCTCAGCCTGCTGAAAAACAGAAGCCCCAGGTTCAGTGAGATGCCCTACCTCAAAAAACAGGTAGCAACAGAGGACACTTAACATGCCCTGGCCTCTGCATCAACACAAATAGTCACAAAAATACTCATGTATGTGCATGAGCATGCATGCACAAACACACACACCTTCTTTCTTTTCTTTGGTTTTCCGACACAAGGTTTCTCTGTAGCTTTGGAGCCTGTTCTGGAACTGGCTCTGTAGACCAGGCTGTCCTCAAACTCACAGGGATCCTCCTGTCTCTGCCTCCCAGAGTGTTAGGATTAAAGGTGTGCCAACACCCAGCTTCTTCTTTTCTTTGTCTCTTTAAAAAAAAAAAAAAAAAAAAAAATGGGAACTGACTTTAAGAGATCAGGAGACTCTTTGGGAGACTGCAAAGACAAACAGGAATTTAGACAGTCTGAATAGAGCCAACAATTCATGGCACAGCACACAGCCATTCCAGGACCTGCCCTCTCTACACTCAGGCTGCTCAGGCCACAGCACACAGCCATTCCAGGACCTGCCCTCTCTACACTCAGGCTGCTCAGCAGCATCCCACTAGATGTCAGCAATACAGCTTTTCCCCCAATTTATGACAACCAACATTTCCTAATGTGCAAAATCCTTTCCTACCAAGGACTCACTCTACCAGGGACACAGCACATGTGCAGAACCCTGGGTTCAACCCCCTCATCACACAAAACAAAAAGAAGAAATATCTTTTTAGCCCGTCACTTTATAAACATCCACAAAATCTGTCTGTTGGAAACATAGTAAAATAATATTGTCCAAAACGAAGAAAATCTAGTACTGTGCTTTGAGAAACAATCACATTTTCTCTTTAAGACATCTTATATAGCGCGCACACACACACACACACACACACACACACACACACACACACACACACACACGTTAAATGTTTAGGTACCCACGAAACCCTACTATGCCCAGATTCATCAGGAAATTTGGGAAGGAACAGAGCCGATGGCCTTCCCTGTTCATAAAAATCAATAGTGTTAATAAAGCTGGGACAGACTCCAGTCCTGCTCATGAACCTCTTTAAGCAACTCCAGAATTCACTTGATGAACCTGTCACTGTAAATGTAAGCAAACTGTATAGACGAGAACATGGAACATATTCACATATATGTATATGTGTGTGAATTATGTAGGAATCTAAAGACTGTTTATAGCCAATGAATTTGGACTAGAGACTATATGCCAACTCAAGGAGAAACACACTTATCTGTAAAACTAAACCTTCTTCAGTAATGATTCAGTAACGATTATTCAGAAAGCTCTCACAAAAAGAAACTGGAGCCAGGTGTGTGGCACATGCCTTTCATTTGAGATACAGGCTCAAGGACAGTCTGATCTCATGCAAATTCCAGGACACCCAAGGCTACATAATAAAAGATCCTTCCAGGAAGAAGGGAAGGAGGAAGGGACAGACCAACCAACCCACCCCTGTGCTGGCTCAGTTGCTGGTAAGGTGCCTCTTGCTGTTCCAAGCACAAGAAGGGTCTGGGTTTGGATCCCTAGCACACAAGAAGGTGACTACACCATCCTGTGTGTATAACACCCATGGTGGTGGTGGGGTAGTAGAGACTGCCCCAGGTCCCTACAACCCACTGGTCTGCCAAAAGTCTAGCCAAATCTGAAAGCTCTAGGTTCAAGTTCAGTGGGAGACCTTGTCTCAATAGTAAGAGCACATCCCTGAAGAAAGACACTTGTCATGGACTTCTAGACATACTAACGCACACACATGCAAACATGCAGATGCACATACATGCCTGTAATTCCTATCACTGGGAAGGCTGAAGTCAGAGAATCCTAGATTCAAGGCTAGCCCCGAGCTTCATAGAAAGCAAGAGATAAAGGTACTAAGTTGAGAGTTCTTTTCTCTCACACAGGACTGTCAGATAAAGGAAAAAACATTCAGCACTATGAAACCCTTTGTGTGTGTTGTGTGTGTATGCATGTTTACACTTACACACACACACACACACACACACACACACACGATAAAGTTCAGCATTTGGGCAACACATTAACATTAACCCTGTTCTTAAAAATGCCTCCCTCTTTCAGGTCCAAAACTTACCTGCTAATGATTCTTTGTTTTTTTGAGAACTGGTCTCATTGTCTAGGCTGACCTCAAACTCACAGCAATCCTCCAGCCTCACCAAGAAAGTGCTGGTCAGCTATTGTTTTTGTGTGCATGAAAACACATGGGGCCACAGTTGGTTTCCAGTTGTGCAGAGTGCTGGGAACCAACCTCCAGTTCTCAAGACCAGCACACTTTTGTTTTGTTTTTTTTTGCCTTTCGTTCTCTGTAGCTTTGGAGGCTGTCCTGGCCTCAAACTCACAGAGGTCCACCTGCCTCTGCCTCCCAAGTGTTGGGACACCACCGCCCAGCTCTAGAGGAGCACATTCTTAACTGCTGACTTCCATCTAACTATCTTGAACTCTTTCCATACAAAGTTCACTAAAATGACGTAGGTTACAATTAAGAAAATCCTAAGAATTTCTCTAAGATGTGGGTGGAATGCAGCTAGAAGTTAAGGACGCCAACAAGAAGTTGGGGACTGTGAATAAATTAATGGTTCTGAGGGTGTGCTGAGATTTTTCCCTCCCTGGAGGTTTACTGTGGAGTTTTAAATCTTGCTGTCCTTCGATGAAACAATCGCATCTTGAATAAGGCAGACATCACGGCCAACAAAACTATTTTTAGTAACTTCACAAAGCACCTAGGAAGCATTGTAAATACAGCAAAGCTTTAAAAGCCCACATTCTGT